TCCCCCCGTGATGCAGCTTTGCCCCAGCTGGGGCTGTGCGCCCCCCCACCCCCCCAGACACTAGGGCACCCGCATTCACGGCAGCACAACGCACAATAGCCAAGAGAGGGAAACAACCCAAACAGCCATGGACACACGAATGGAGAAGCCCTTGTGCTCTGTCCATACAGGAGCGTATTAGTCAGCCTTGAAGAGGAAGGAAGTTCTGACACGTGATGCGCGCTGGACAGGGATAAACCTGGACGACCTGGGCAGAGTGAACTACGCCAGTCATGAAAAGACAAGCACCGACAGAGTCCACTCATGGGAGCTATGGCAAGGAGTCGGACTCCCAGAAAGTATAATGGTGGTTGCCAGGAGTTAGGGGAAAGGGAATGGCGAGCTGCCATTCGATGGGTACAGGAGCCTTCCTTATCCCTGAGGAATGTGCCCTAAGACCTGGCAGGGCACTACTAAATTCCATCTATGGGGGGGGGGGTCTTTAAAAAGTTGATGGATGATGCCAATTCCTCCAATTCTCCATCCTACCAGGATCCTGGGCATGCGTATATATTCATAGCTCATTGCTGCAAGAGGCAGGATTTGAACCCCAGGAAGCCATGTGGGATCTAGCTTACTCTGCACAGTGCCTAGCCATTGTGCTAGGGGGCTGCCCTATACTTCAGTGTTAGTAAATTATGGAAACAATTTGAGGAAAGGTCTCTCCAAATTTAGGAGCACATTTGCTTATAAATACCAGATCATGCTGATGTTCAGGGAAAGAAACTCAAATGATAACATAATTGTCTGTAAAATATTAGAATGAGCCATGGAAGGAAAGCTGCAGTAAACCAGAAAGGACATGGTGAAGTACAGGAAAATGGTAAGTTGATGGGAAAATGTAGATGAAAATTGTATGCATGTGTTGCAATCTTTTTGTATAGAATAAACTTTAATCCCATCCCCACAAACTTAAAAAAATCAATATTTATTCTGTGAGTAAGAAAGAGAGAGAGAGTCAGACAGAGATACAGCACCTCTGTCTGGTCCTGATGCCGCGATCCACCCCCAGTCTCAGCTGGACCAGATCATGGCACGTGCGTTCCCAGTGTGCTCAGGGAGGCCTCCAGACATGAACTGGCAACCTTCCCATATGGGTCAGCCTCCAAGAAATCACGTGTAACTGCTGCACCATCATCTTGGAACACCCCTCATGTACGTGTGTCTACACACACATACCATGATGCGTTTGCTTCATTAAAAAGGTTAATAAACCACGGTGAAAGATGAACTACAGTCATCCATAATAGGACAATGGTAACAATACACTGGATAAACGTTAAGTGAATGTGCCTATTCTTCCTCTAAGCACCCCACTGTACTGTCCTGGCCCTTCCTGTGGTGACGAGATGATGATGAACTATCTGCACGACAGATGAAGCAAGGTGGGAAACAGAGCATTTGGATACCATGTCGGCTCCCACTGACCTGCCAATGGTGTTCTGGGCGGCAGCTGAGTAATTTAAACTATGGAATGTGAAGCCCTGGAGATGGGGCCTACTTTATAGCTTCAATTTTGCAAGGGAGGTAACACAAACATGGTGAGTCTGGACCAACACTCTCAAACTACATTTGAGATGGTAAATGTAATGTTGGATGTATTTTTCCACAATTAAAAATAATAAAAAATGAAAAGTTGCCATTCTTGGACCCAACGGGAATCGAATCTCTTCTTCCTGAACTATTCAGGGGGCCCAGGAAGCCCCAGTCTTGTGGACTCACGTGTGCGTGGCCCTTCAAATGAGACTCAGTGCTGCTTGGTAGAAGCTGGCATTTGCCCCAAATGCCTCATGGGTTTTGTCCAGTGAACACTATAACAGGTGAAAAGGGTCTGTGGATGAGAGCATTTTTGTGAGAGCAAGTGTTTTTTAATGTCCTTTAAATGAACACTGTGCTAAACAAGTGAAAATAACAGAAGGGGCTTTGCGTGTCCTCATCAGAACTGTGGATTAATTGATATACCATGTTTGCTGGTATTGAATTAATTGGAGTAGATTCACGTGCTGACCCTCTGTCAACTCAGATACTCCTGCACCGCTGCCACCTCTCCAGTCTTCAGCACCTCTCCAAGGCCACCCCCTCCTCCTCTGAAAACCACGAAACTCACTTGTCATACAACTAAGCTAACCACGCATGGGGTGATGAATCCAATGCAGTTACGCAAGTAGCAGAGCAGTCAAGTTCAAAGTCAGAGCAGAAACAAGGCCAAGTATTCTGTGCTTCCACGGCTGAGGGTCTTGCTGACTGATTCCTGCCCACAGCTCCAGGGCCTTCCGGGGAACATGGCCTCTGCCGTCTACTGGGAGGCTGGCCCTGTCCTGTACAGACTCCACAAAGGGATGTGAGCCTGGAGCTGCCGTTGCTCCCTGGTCTTTGCTCAGCATTCCCGATCCTTCGTGTTTAAATGCACCCCAGGGGGCTGGCCATGTAGCCTAATGGTAATGGAGCTGGATCCCATGTAGCTGACTGTTGTTTGAATCCCAGTTAGTGAGTGTGTGCACCCCCTGGCAACTGAAAATAAATAAATGCACCTCTGAAAGCCTCACATGTATGGTATGTCTTCAATTGGTTTATGAGAATTTTATTTTTAAAGAGAGATTTTTGCTATTCAGCATGTGTGCTCGCCAGAGAGACAGAGAAAGAGAGACAGAGAGTGAGAAATCACCCGCTGGGGATGGCCACACTACAATCCTTTCTTTTCTCAGGACCTCAGGTACACAGGTACACACACCCATCATGAGTTTTAAGCCGCAGGGTCCAGTGACTATGCCAAATATTTTAACCATGTTTTAAAACATGGTTGACTACATGGGAGTCCAGAGACATAACCCTTATGCCGTCTGCTGGTCCTTGTTTTTGACAGTTTTGATAGTTTGACCGAATGATCCATTAGCTTTCCTGGGAGGTTGGCCACGAGGGAAACGCACTCTGGAACCATTTTACTTTTTACTTCTTTTACCATCTGACCCTGATTTTAAAGGAAGACCTTCCCTGTGGACCAGGAAATGATATCCTGATATAAAAACACGAGCACTCACATGGCAGGAAGGAAATCAGAGTTGTGAACTACAAAAGGCTTGATGGCATGCTGGAAAGTTTATTTTTACTGTTCACAAATCCCCCTCTACTCTTTCCGTGACACTTCAGGTTTGGCACAGCGACCGAGAGAGGCATGTGACCATCGTCATGTAGAATAAGACAGGACAGAGATGCAGCCGGGACTACCTTCAGAACACGCTGGCCCAGCTCCTCGGACCAGTGCCTTACCCCACAGAATGGGGTAATTTAATTTCTTAAACAGAAGACTTTTACTAACAGGTGCTTGCAGTTTGTTGACTTTTTGAAAAAAGTTAAGTTGTAAACTTTTATTACAAATTTAATATAAACTTCTATTTTTTAAGAGAAATTTTTGCTCTGGGGCATGTACAATCACCAGAGACACAGAGTGAAAGAGAGTGAGAAATGACCCCCCAGGGGATGGTCATGTTGCAATCCCTTCTCCTCTTGGGATTTTGGGCACACACACACACCCGGCATGTTTTAAGCAGTCAGGTCTGGAACTCGAACCACAGTTGACCATGCGAATCCAGCACCTCAACCACTACGCCATCTGCTGGCCTCCAAAACAAACTTAAAAACAATCTCAACTGGACTGCCATATGAAACCATTTAAAACTCTTTAAAGCTGTACTGAGGATAAACAAAATAATAATAAAAAAAAACACACATCTGTCATTACTAATAAAAACACATTTCATTAAAAATAAAAACCCCCTCCTACATAGATAATGAAAACATGCTAGTTATTTGGTCAATGGGCAAAAAGCAAGAACTTCAGGTCTTCAGCTCTAATATCTATTTTTTTTAAGAATTTTATTATTATTATTATATTTTAATTTGACCAGAGAGAAACAGAGGGAAGGAAAGAAAGCGTGCAGAACTGAGAAAGCAAGCCGTTAGGTCCGGGACTCGAACTGTGGTCAACTACGTGGGAGTCCAGCACCTTAACTACCATGCCACCTGCCAGCCCCTTTCGTTCATTTCTCATGGCTGGAATTTCCACATCCCCTTCTTGTTGGCTGACTAAACTGGATGATGGTAGAGGTAAGTTGGCATTTATTCAGTCCCCTTTGTTCAGTTTCAGGAATGGGCAGGTTCTTAACTGGTAGATCATCTGCTTCTGTCTCTGCCATCTTGTGGTTTAGGGTTCTCTGGCATCTGCACCGATAACTGAAGTTGTGGCAGTACTGATGTGGAGGTGCTTACTGCATCCCATCTCGTTTTTCCTCATCCTCTTCATTACCGTCCTCTCTGGACTGTCTTTGCCGGGAGGGCCTCTGCAAAATTGTGGTCGGTAACCCTGATACGTATCCTGCCTTCCTCGTCTCTCTTGTCTCCGGCACCCTGGTTGTCAGCACCCTCCATCACTTCTCCCTGTGTAGGAGGACCGGAACACTGGGTCCATGCCCACAGGGTCCGCATGGAGTAAAGGGGAGCCTTCGCCTGCAGTTGGGCCTCTGCCCATCGGGAGTGCTCTCTGATCCCTCATTCTTCTCCTCACTCTCACTGTTCTGCTGATTTTGCTAATAACTGGGTGGACGACCCGCAGGACATGGGTAGCGTCTATAATGCTTCTTACACTGGAACATTTTGTCGTCCCCAAAACCTTCACTGTAATGGACAGGTGCAGCCAATGTGAGGCCATCCAGGCCCCTGCTGGGGCTGGCCGTGCTGTGGGCAGGACAGTGGAGGAGGCCGTGGCCACTGCTGGGTCTCGGCCTTGGTGTTCTTGGTTACGGCAGTGGTGACGAGGTAGCTTCTCCCAGGGTGTGTCAGTAACCAGGCCAGAGGTGGAAACCTGATGCCAATCTTTCTCCATCCTTGGACACACTGTCGTCTTCATCTACTGAGATCCTAGGATAGCTTACAAGTCAGCAACTGATCTACCAGCCTGGTTGCCCTCACCCCTGCTGCCCTCTGACTCCAGGCAACCAGAATTACTTTGCCAAAACCCAGATCCAATCCCTTTACTTATTTGCTCAAAACCCTTCCCCATCTTGCCCCTGGGAAGGGCACACGAAGCCCTTCACACCTGCCCTTACCTCCCTCACCATGGTCTTAAAAAACCTCGCCCTCCATCTATCAGCTCCTGTCCTTTGACAGTCCATACAGAGACCCGCCCTGCCCTCCAGTCTGCCCATCCACACAGAGATGCACCCCCTAGCTTTATCCCCTGGGGAACGTTACAAGGCGATCCTGGGTGGGGCAGAGGCTGTGCTTCTAACAAGCCCCCAGGGGGCACTGTTGCTGCGGCTGGTCTCCAGATCCCACCCAGGGAAGTGGCACAGAAGGCACTCCACTAACTGCACCG